AATAAATAAATAATTTTATTACTTTTATAAACAATTTTTTAAAAAAAGGAGGGAAAAATGTTGGAAACGATTTTTTTAAAAAATGATAATGACATTGTTAATAAAAAAGTTGAAAAACCATCGGTGGTGACGTCAACATTTTCAATGGAAAATTTATTAAATACAAAAATCGTGGGTAAACATTCGTCCGGTGAGAAAAATTTAATGTTTAAAATAAAAAACGGTGAAAATCCCCGTAATAGATCCCCGTTGGATTCGGATACGGAAGACGATAAGAAAAAGCAAAATAATAACGAAGAACAAAACGATTTTTATTCGGATAATAATTCATCGATATCGCCGAATAATTTCGAATCGAATCACCGGAAATCCGATGATATAAACGGTAAAAATTATACGGAAATTAATTACGATAGATCCACGTCACCGGATCCGGAAGAAAGTCAAAGTTCGGGTTTGCCACATAATTTAGAGAGTTCGCCGAAAAATGAAGATGACAAAAGGGAACCCTCCGATTACACTCTACCACAAAAATTAACCCCCCATAATAATGATAATAATTATACGTCGCATAATTTATTTAAACATGAAAGTGTTTTCAGTCAATTTTTTCGTAACGAAAATTATTTAACGACCGTTAATAATCGTAATTATTATAATAATCAAAATCTATGTAATACTTTCGATTGTTATCAAAAAACGTTACCGGTTTATCGAGATAATCGTAATTTTCACCGGAATTGCAATTCTATTAATTGTGGAACATGTGATAATACGAAAATACAAAGATTGGACGGTTTCCTGTTGGGTAAGTGCAAAGGAGGAGGAGGACACCTCGAGAAAAAAGACGAAAATTTAATTATTAATTTAAAACAACAAAACAAAGGGAAAGATGACGAGGATGGTGGTGATGACGTCGTCGTTAAAAAATCACCGACGAATCTTCAGAAAAATCCCGCCGTGGAAATCGATCGTAAACCGGCTTTAAAATTTAGTGTCAATGCAATACTCGGTACGAATCATCATCATCATCATCAAGGGATTAACAAACCAGGTAAATTATTATTATTATTAATTTTTTAATAAAACTCACCCTTTATGTGTGTGTGTTTCCGTCGTTCAGGTACACGCAAACTCTCATATTTTTCCTCCATTTTGATTTTTCACGTTATTGCGTGCGTGTGCGTGTGCGTGCGTGTGTCAACAAATATCATTCGTAATCCGCAATCCATTAAAATGATTGATTGATAATGATCGTAATAACAATAACGGACTCCATTCTGAAAAATATAATTATTATTATCATATAAAATATTATAAAATTAATTAATAAAAAAAAAACAAATTATAACGGTTTTTTTTAAACCTCGAAGGTTAAAAATTTCACTTACACACACACACACACACGATTATGTATTTATTTAATTCAATTTTAATAAAAAAAAAAAAAAGTTTTAATTAAATTTTTCTGCATTTGATTTGCAGGAAAAGGAAAAAAAAAGGAAAATTTTTCCTTTTTGTTTATTTATTTATAATAAAACTTTTAATGACGTCATCGGATATTTACCGCTCCTCAACATCGTTCGTATTTATTAATGTAAAATCCACGTTTTCTTAACATTTTCATAAATATCGAAATTCGGTTAAAAATTTTTGGATTATATACGCGGGGAGTACTTTAACGCATACTAATAAGATTTTCCGGTATTAAAAATGATGATGATAATAATAATAATAGGTTTTTTTTTATGGTCGATGTAGTAATTAATAATAATAATAATAATAATAAAACAATTTATACGCGTATGAGATATTAAAGAATAAAAACAAAAAAAAATTTTTTTTTTTTTTTACCCTAAAAGACATAAGTGAGAAAAAAAAAAAAAAAAGAGAAAATTGAAAAGAGAGAGAGAGAGAGAGAGAGAGAGACGGGCGACAGAAGAGAAAGGACGAAGTAGTATCGGGTATGGAAAAACTGACGGAAAGAAGGGAGGATGGGGGAGGGGAAGGGAGACGCGCGTGAGAGATTGAGGGTGGGTAAAAACGACGTGCTTCAAAGCAAGGTGTCGGATACACCAGTTCACTCTCGTCGCCCCCGGTTACATTTTCACACTCTCAACTCTCAAATATCTAAAACATTTTCCCGGTTTCTACTGGGAGCTTTTTAGCTTTTACTTTTTCATGCGCTTTTCATCTTTTTAAATTTGATCGAACTTGGCATTCTTTTCCTTCAATATTTTACACCATTTTTTTTTCTTACTGCTGCTGTTGTTGCTGTCGTCACGGAGTATACACAAAGGTTTTTTTTTTCTATTTTTCACCGTTCGAAATATTTCCATTGTATTAAACCTTAGAGAAAAAGAGAAAGTTTTTCTTCCCCTCCCCTCCCCTCTAAATACTCGTGAGGTTTTTATGATGCAACGTGACAAAACCGTGACGACAGCACACACACACATATAATTTATAATAGGAAAAGATTTAGATTTTCGTAAACGAATGAAACAAAATATATATATGAAAAGAATATAATAAGGGATGGATATAAGCCTAACGAGGGAGAACATGATTGTCCTTGACGAGTTAAGTGGTCAACCAGATGACGGTTTCGGAGATGGACACAAAAGGGAGGAAGATGAGGGGGTGTTTTCTCACACAGTCACTCACTTTATCTCTCAAAGATCAATCTTATTTTTCCATGCGTGTCATTTTATTATTATTTCCCCCTCACCCCCCTACCCCTCCCAAAAATCATTTAATTTTTCAGATTTACACGCGCGCACGCACACGCACACACACACACACAAATTATCCTTTATTTTATTATTATTATCATCAAAATTTAAAAACCGCTTTTTTTTTTACTCTTTCTTCGCTAAAAAAAAATTAATTAATTATAAAATTATTTTTAATAAAAAAAAAAATTTAATTATTTTTTTCCCGCCATTTATAATATTAAAAATAATAATAATAATAATAATAATGAATCAATATTTAGAGAGTAAAAATTTTTTTTTTTTGTTTACGAAACCTATTCGAAAGAAAGAAAAGATTTAAAAAAAAAAAAAATTGTTTTTTTTGTTGCGGTTTATAAACAATTTTTTTTTTTTTTTCATAAATAAAAATAACATTGTATTCAGTACAAAAAAAAATTTATGATGATAATAATAATAACAAAAAAATTAAATAATCCAATTAAATAAATAACAATAACAATAACGCAAAAAAAAAAATAAAAGAAAAAGGTTTTTTTGTGTGTCTGTGTGTGTGGGGCGTCGGATGATGAACGGACTGACGTTAATACACACCATTAAAAAGAAATAAAGTATTTAAAATAGCAAAAAAACGGTATTAAAAAAAAAAAAAAAAAAACTCTGCATGCATGCATATTGTTTTTCAAAATCCCCAAATCTAAAACCACGTGAATAAACGAAGAAGTGGAAATAGATGAACTGTAAATTGTTAATCCCAAACGTAAACAAGGGATTGCGTATCAGGAGGAGCCCCTTTCATGGATGAACCAAAAAAAATTTTTTTTTTTTTTTTGTATTAACCCCGTGAACTCATCTTGTTTTTCTTATTATTATTATTATTATTATTATTTTTCCTACTCGTTTTATAAAGAATTCTTTTATTTAATTGCCAATATAAACGTTTTTCCTGTCATTTTGTGTTTTTTTTTTTTTTTAAAATAATAATATTAACAATAACAATAATAATATTAACAATACGAAAATATTATTTTTACTTTTTTTATTATTATTATTATTATTTGCAACCCCTAAAAACTAATTGAAACTTTTTTTTCATTTGTTAGAATTAAGGTTTATTAAATTTTCCAAAAAATTCTTTATTTTTTTGGGGGTGATAAAATTTTTTTTTTTTTTTAATGTCGTCATTCGTTCTTTGGAAATTTTTTAACATTTATTCCAGGTTTCTAATCTGATCCCTTGGGAATAAATGCTCGAGTAGGTTTTTTATAACCGAACCTACGATTCTTTTGAGTCTTCCTGAGACCATATTATTCCTGATTTCGACTCCGGTGATAATAACATCAGTGGAGTAATCAGGAATTGTCTTAAAATAGGAAGACCAAGATTTGTTTTTGTTTTTAGTGTTGCTATCGTGACGTCACCCATTCAAGTTCTAAACGCGACCGTCGCTATTTAATTTCGGTTATCGAACAAGAGAACCCGTGTACGGCACGATTGTTGCTTTATTATTATTATTATTATTCATTTATTAATAATAATAATAATTTATGATTAAGAACAATTTATCGTACAAAAGATAGTATCCAGTGAATTTCTCAAAATAAGAAATCTCCGGATTGGGTTTTTATTAGGTTTTATGCTGGAATCGCGACAAACAAATTGACGCTGGGTTGTGTATGAAATTGGTACACGGTTTGAAGTACGTGAAAAAGTATTGTAAAAACAAACAAACAAACAAACAAAAAAAACATGAAGTGCAAAACACACAAAAACAAACAAAAAAAAAAAATTTATTACAATCGTCAATGACGTTACTAATCGTTCGCCCATCATTAAAAATATTTCAAAATGTTAAATTTTTTTTTTTGTTTTTTTTTTTTCAAAAATTATACTTTTTGAATTTTTTTTTTTGAAAAGATTACATGAGAGTGGGTTGTAGCAGTGGTTTTGAGGGTAAAAATTTTTGTTTGTTTTTGTGTTAATGGATTTTCCCTTCATATAAAACAGTTAAACGATTATTATCACATTTCAATTACTCTGTTGACTTAACAAATTGTTGTACAAACCACTTACCAACAATTTTTTTTTTCCTCTCTCCCCTCCTCTCTCTCTCTCTCTCTCCCTCGTTGAATTCCATCCCTTTAAACTCCCACCCATTGTTTTCGTTTTTTTTTTTTCCCATCAGATTTTGATATAATTTTCTGTAAAAAATATTAAAACGTAATTAGTTAAAAATAAAAAATTTTTATTTTTAGAATCCGTTACGCAAGAGGACAGCAATCATTTACCAATATTTAATGGTGGTATTGCAAAACCCATTCCACGACCAGCAGCAGCCTTATTGAGCCCTCATTTAAATACTTGGTTATCCTGTAGCGCACCTTATTTCGGTGAGTCCAAGAAAATTTTTTAAGGCCCTAAAAAAAAAAAAAGAAAAAAAAAAAAGGAAATTAACAAATTTTTTTTTTTTTTATTTTGCAGTACCGAACGATGGTAATTCGACGACTGTTTTTCCTCTTCCTGGTACTTTTCCATGGGCGAGTACATCGAGAGGAAAACCTAGAAGGGGTATGATGAGACGTGCCGTATTTTCCGATTTGCAACGTAAAGGTTTAGAAAAAAGATTTCAAATACAAAAATATATATCAAAACCCGATAGGAAAAAATTAGCTGAAAAATTAGGATTAAAAGATTCTCAGGTACGTTTTATCCTTTTTTTTAACCTCTAAAAGGGAATGGGGAAAAGAGGTGGGGGGGAGGGAGAAAAAGGGAAAAAAAAACAAAAAACAAAAAAAAAGAAAATACGAATTTAAAATTTTTTTAACATTTCAAACCCGTATTAAAAATTAAAAGAAAATCTCTCTTTCGAGCGCAATCAAAAATAGTAAGTAAGTTTTCAATCTGTTAACCTCCTCCCTCCCCCCGCCCCCATTACCCCCGCCCGAAAGGGCTGGAGATGTTTATCGTCAGCCATCAATTCCAGAAATTGGATATTGGGGTAACTGGAAAGAGAAAAAACTCTTTGCTTGTCGACTCCCTAAGATATATACCTCTTCCTTTTTCTTTTTCTATATTTCCCCTCCCCTCCCCGCCCCCGCTCCTTAGAAATCCTATTAACGAATCATATCTTTTTGCGTATTTTCCTTGCATTTCATCTTCAACGGATTTTTATTGAGTTTTCTTTCTTTCTTTTTCTTCTTCTTTCCCCCCTTTAAAAAAAAAACACACACACATGAAAATTTTTAGCTTTTTATTGCTGAGTTTGCGCCATTTTTTTTTTTTTTTTTTACTACAAGTTGACATTTTTAAGTTTTCCTTTATTAAATAAAAATTATTATTATTATTATTATATTTATACAAGGAGTCGAATTATTGTGTGTGTTTCGATTTTTTTGTTTTTTATTTTTCAAACGATTTAACAAAAAGAAATTACAATAAAATAGAGGAAAATGCAACCAAGACAAATTTATACTTAGAATTAGTAATAAAGTGTTTTCTAAAAAGAATAAACATAATAAAATGATATAGATGGAGAAGAAAGACAATGGTAAAGTAGCAGACGACCAATCACAGCCTTTTTTATTTCGTTTTCCATTAACGTAAACCACGCCTGGAATTATTTATCATTGCTTATAATGTTTTGTTTTTTTTTTCTCCCCCTTTTTTTTTTTTTTTTCTCCAGCATTTTTTTTTTCTATAGCTTTTTTTTAGACTGGAAGGAAAATAATAAAAATTTTTTTTATGACTGGAAATAATTTTTTTTTTCCAACGCACACGCAAACATGATATATTAATTGGCAATTCGAAAGGGGCACATTGTTGTTAAATAATTTTTTTTTTTTTTTTTTTGTTTGTTTCCCAACATTTTTTTTCTCCCGAAATCTTTTGTTTAAAAAAAAATTTTTATTTTATAACAACAACAATAATCTTATTCACGTTTCGTCTGCTTTTCAATTTGTCTTTTTTTTTAAACGGTTGAACATTTTAAAAAAAAAAAAAAAAAAAAAAAAACGATTTTTGAATTCAAAATATAAACTTTTCCCTTATTTTCACCGAAAAAAAATTTTTACTCAACATTATAAAAATTCGCGACGTTTTAATTTTTTTATTTAGCCCCTTCCCCCTCCCACCCCCTCACCGCCCCCCACGAAAAACTTTTCAAAATCGTTATCAATAAAAAAATAATTGATAGTACAATGTGTGCACAAATAAAAATAAATATTATGATCTGTTTTGTTTTAAAACTAATATGGCTTCTTTAAAGTTTTTAAATTTACGACTTTGTTCACTTTAATATACGAAATAATAATAATAATAATAATAATAATAATATATGGAAATAAAATTACTTTGTGATATGTATAAAATATTAATAAAAATGATTTTTTTTCTTTTTTTTCGATGAAAAATCTTTGGCATATTATTAATAATTCAAAAAGTATTGATTTAATAATAATAATAATAATAATAATAATAATAATAATAATAATAATAATAATAATAATAATAGTAATAATAATAATATGCATATACATAAATAAATAAATATAAAAATAAAATTTTAAACAGAATTAAAACCAGATTTTTATATATATATAAATATAAAAGAAAAGTAGTTAATCACGCGTTGTAGAATTATTATTAGAAAACGATCATCTGCAGCCTCCATGTTTTATTTAAATTTTAACGTATTATTATAATAATATATATATATATAATAATAATAATTTATAATTGAATGAAAAAACGATAAGCTAAACTAAAAAAAAGATAATCATTTTATAATACGGAAGGTTTTTTTTTTCCCTTCTATCTATCCCCCCCTCAGTCGAAAACGCGACGTTTCGATGCAAAGGAAACAAAGGCGGTTACGTATAAGTGCGTTTATATTATTTTCGTATAGTGATAACGTTATCAATACGTGGAGTATGATAAAAGGTATAATTATCGAAATGAGAATTTGCGAAAATAATAATAATAATAATAAAAATTTATTACGATGTAAAAGAAAAATGATGATGGATAATAAAAATAAGTAAAATATTTAAGTGGTATAATAATTTCGTTGAAGGGTTAAAAAAAAAAAAAATAGAGAAAATATTTAAAAAAAAAAAAAAAAACTCATGAATACTGTAATACGAGTTTAAAAAAAGAAAATTGTATTGCGATGAAACGGTCGACTTTAAACCGTCGCCCTTTTGTTTTTTAAAGTCGGAGTAATAAGATTATTATGAGACTCGAGAACGAAGAAAAAAAAAAAAAAAAAAAAAAAAAAAATTTATAGCCATGAATAACTTCTTATAGTATTTTTTTTTTTTTTCAGTTTTATTCGATTATATAACTTTTTATTATTATTATTATTATTATTATTTTTTGTGAAACAATTTAAGGGTTTAAATTTTTTTTAAAAAAAACTTGTAAGATTTTTCCTTTCTTTCGATAATAATAAAAAAAAATTTTTTTTCTATATATAAGCAAATGTATGATTGTATTAAATTAATTCTATGACGTCATAACGATTCGTTTTGGTTTTTCGTCTCCTCCCCTCTCCCCCCGCCCGATTAAAACCCGAAGATATAAGTATTATTATTATTATTATTATTATTAAAAAAGTTAAAAAGCGTAAAAATTTCTATAAACTTTACTTATTCTTTTAATTTTTTGACATGGGGCATACGAACGCAGGCACGCACGCACGCACGCATCCACGCATCCACGCACGCACTCACCCACACGCACAAATATATATATATATATATATATATACAGACATTAAAAAAACGTTCGATCATCTTCAAAAACTAATTTAATAATTTTCCAAAACAGATGTTGCCAACAGTTGGAAAAGAAAAGCTCAGAAAATGTTGAAAATGGTTTATTTCAAACCCTATTTAACACTTTCATCTTATATTCCCATAGGGAATCAGGCGTCACATTGTACTATATCATAAAATAAAAAATGAAATGTCATAAACTGGATAAGTTTTATTATTGTTACCTTGTATATGCGGCTCTCAAATTTGTTCCCTTAAATGTTTCCAAGTTTCTTTTTTTTTTCTCTCTCTCTCTCTCTCTCAAATATAAAAAATAATTTTTTCCAACGTATATATATATATATATATGTATTTCGTCGAAACTGAAAAAAACAATAAAAAAAATTATCATTATTATTAATTAATTTTCTTACGGAAAAGATGAAATTTATATACATAACTGAAATAAAATAAATATATTATTAATTGATTGTCGAATAATAATAATAATAATAATAATAAAAAAATGATTTGAATTTCAATATGAAAAATAAGGAAGAGAGAGAGAGAGAGAGAAAGTGTAGTGTCAATAAAAACGGTGAGGATTAAAGTGATTTGCCAACGATTAAAAGTAATCTCACCTCGAAAGATTTCATCATCCATTGTAATAGGGAGACCCAAAGGAAAGAAGAAGGGGGATGAAAGGAAGGAAGCCAAGAATTGAGGGTGTGAGAAACTGTCAGAAACAGATATCGCTAGGGACGACGGCATTTAATTATCTAGAGTATAAAAGGATCTTTTTATGTTTGATTACTGTATAATTTTTTAACAAGGCTGTTGAAAACAATGCATTAAAAAGAATGACGAACTACTCGGGATCTCTCGGTTTTGGAAATTAAAAAACAAAAACAAAAATTTTAGAAAAGTTACTTTTAAACCCGAAAATTTTTTTTTTAACCAATCATAATTCAATACGTCATTATTTATTATTGTTTTCCCTCTTTTTAATCCACAACAACAAAACTTTATTTATATTAACAAATACTTTATTCATTTCCGGAAAATTGATACTTATTATATCGTCTGTTATGGTTTATTATTGTGCAAATCATCAATCATTCAATGAATGAAAAAAATTCTAGAATTAAATTTAAAATTCGAACCTGTTATCTCTGCCTTTGTTTTATGTACGTTTTCATTGGTTGTATTTTCATTCCAAAAATTCGTGGAATTATTCTAGAATTATTCCGAACTTGATTCGCTGTCGTTACCTGTTAATAAATGTATCATTCCTTAGTCATAATTATTTATTTACTCTAATTATTATTTAAAAATATTATTATTAAATAAAAACCTTTTTTTTTTTTTTCCAGGTGAAAATATGGTTTCAAAATCGTCGTATGAAATGGCGTAATTCAAAAGAACGTGAACTTCTTGCAAATGGCGGATCACGTAAGCAAACATTACCGAACAAAAACAATCCGAATCCGGATTTAAGCGATGCAACTAATGACAAACCCAAACATAATTACACGGATGTATCCTCTCCTCTAATGTCTCCTCAAACGGACGAAGATGTTTTCGTTACTCAAAATGATAATAATAATAAATCAAACGGTGGTGAAAATTACGATTATCAAAACAATTCAACGACGTACGAACAAAAAACGGATGAAAATTTTTCCGAAAATGGTAGTAGTAGTAATAATAATAATAATCATCATCAATCGGATGACGTAGAAAATTTTAACAATTCGAATTATTATAAATACGATTACGAAGAAACGGATTACGATGATTCCGATGAAGAAATTAACGTTATCGATTACGAATCGGATGGCCAATGAATTTAATATTAATAAATTTATGTAAATATATATATATATAAATATATAAAATTAAAAAATTATGTTAATTATTATTATTATTAATTTTAATGAAATTTTTTTAATATTAATTTCTTATATCGTACCTAAATGTGATTATTCAATCCTCTCAAACAAATATTTTATTCCAATCACTTCTTCTTCTTCTTCTTCTTCTTAAAGCTAAAAAAGAAAATGAATAAAATATTAATAAAATATAATAATATAAATATAATCAATAAAATTATTATTATTACAATTTATTTATTTTTTTCGGTTGTATATAATTAATTAAACCAAATCCATACTAATAAATAATTTTTAATTAATTGCTAATTGAAAACAATTAAATTATGTTAAATAAATACAACCTTGTTCTAATTGAATATTTATTAAAATTAACTTCCTATAAGAGAATAAGACTTGAGTTTTCAAAAAAAAAAAATTTTCATCTAAAAAGTAAAATACATGTGCATGATTAATAAAAAAAAAAAAAAAAAAAAAAAAAAACACAAACATGTTAAAATGTATGGAAAACAAAA